AAAAGTGAAATTGTATGTGGACATTCAAAATAGTATACAAATGAAATATTTTTTTATATTTGCAAACATGTATTGGGTTTTATATATTTTTTCTATTTTTATCAACGTATCAGTTGAAAATTCTGTTTTTAATCATTTTTAATAATTATTCCATCAAGTAATATATTTATGCATTTCAAGCAAATACAACTGTGAAATATAAAAATTATTTATAGAAGTTTGATATAGTTTCATCTTGCAAATTTTAGGCTTCATAATGATTTAATATAGAAATATAGAAATATAAAAAACCCTTACATCACAAAATTTTGTTTCTCTTTTGGTATTTCGAAATTGGTTACTAATCAATAATTAAATCGAGGTCATCAATTATTAACAGAAATAATAAAAATTGCAATATCTTAATTGTCAACATGTATACTGTCACAGTAACTGACAGACACCGATGCATTTCATTTGAATTAAATATTTGAACGAAGAGCAGAGAAACTGAATTATTTAGCACCATCGATACCGAACTAGTGACATACAGTGATAAATTAAGAAATGTGTTACTAATTTACAACATACCCGATATGTGAATTTTCACTCCGAAAACTGATTAAGTAATAATTAAAGAAAGGAAAAATAGAAATAGTCAAACGACTAAAACAATGTTACTAATTACACACGTGACATGTACATATGTATATCTATTTATACAAATAGTTATATATATTTATTTATACAAATAGTTATACATGAGTATACATGAGTTTATTTTCTTTAGTAATATTTTTAGTATCTGTAGAATGTCACGCATTGTTTTAGTACAAATTGTTTCCTTTCGTCGTCAGGATATCATACTTCAAAAAGCTTTTCTGTCAGCCTGTGCTTTTACGGTTATGGTACATTACATGATTCTTTCGTTCCTTGTCGTCCATAAATTTTCAATGAGATTCATGTCAAAAACTTGGTAACACTCTTGGACTTATGATACGGTGCTCAGGTATGCATAAAGATGTCATCTGTATTTGCGAACCAGTTTAAGGCAACAGTAACTTTTGCAGAACATGTTTGCGTGCTCTTAGCGTCTCTTAAGAGATGTAAAATTTCCATTGTGGCGGTTTGATATTTGCTTGTTTTTGGTGGTATTGAAATGAGGAATGTTGGGAATTTTGAAATTTAGTAATTTGAGCAATTGGAGATTTAAGGATTTGGAATTTGAAATTTAGGAATTCAGAATTTTAAGGTTTTAGGGTTTTAGAGATTCAGGGATTTAGAGTTTTAGGGTTTTAAGGTTTTGGGGTTTTAGGGTTTTAGGGTCTTAGGGTTTTAGGATTTTAGGATTATAGAGTTTTAAGGTTTAGGGTTTTAGAGTTTTAGGGTTTTAGGGTTTTAGGCTTTTAGGGTTTTAGGGGCTCTAGGATTTTAGGGTTTCAGGGTTTTAGGGATTCAAGGTTATAGTGATTCAGGGTTTTAATGTTTTAAGGTTGTAGGGTTTTAGGGTTTTAGGGTTTTAGGGTTTTAGGGTTTTAGGGTTTTAGGGTTTTAGGGATTTAGGGATTTAGGATTTGGAATTCAGAGATTTGGAATTTGGAAGTTAGAAATTTGGGAATTCGGAATTTTGAGATTTCAGAATTTGGGGATTTGGGATTTTGAAATTTCAAAGTTAAAGAATTTAAAGATTTAGAGATTTGAGAATTCTTAAAGTTAGGAATTTGTTGATTTGGTAATTTAGAAATGTTATAATTTGTAGAGTTGGATATTTCGGTACTCCGTTATTTGAGGATTTGAAGTTTTCAATTTAGGATATTTAGGAATTTAAGACTTATAGATTTGGGAATATGGAAATATTGAAATTTGGAATTTTTGATTTATGGTTTTGTAACTTTGGAAATTTAGAAATCAGTAAATCAGTAAGTTACTAATCTAGTTTTAGAATTAGAGAATTAACGAATTAGTAAATTAGTAAATTAGTAAATTAATAAATTATTCATCTAGTTTTAGTATTACAGAATTAACGAGTTAAGAAATTAATAAATTAATGATTACTAAACTAGTAAATTAATCATCCAGTAAATTTATGAATACGAAAATTTAAAAGTGAGTAAATTTACAAATAAGGCAATTAAAAATTTAATAAATTTGTCAATAGAAAAATTAGAAAATTTAGAAATTTCAAATTTTCAAATAAAAAATTTAAAAAATTACGCAGTCCAATTGTTAAATTGTGAAATTTTAAACTATCTACCCATTAATTGCCTATCGCCGACTTGCAATAATTTCTGACCATCGCGTGTAATCTCTATCATAACAGATCTGTTTATACATAGCCATTCCTACTATGACTGTGAGCGTGTCTAACGTCAATTTTATATTGATCATACTGCAAACTAATCTACATGAAGGATCGAAGGATGAATACAATAATTTATTAATGTCTTTCGCAAAGTGTCCGATCGTATCCATCTAATTTATTTACACAATTTATGAGGTTCGAAACTCAAATCCTAGTGGTCTTCTAAGTGGAGTAGTTTCGGACTCTATAATACCCCATAGAAAGTCGACGAGCCCCCTGCGGCTGTTCAATTGCAATCGTGGTGAAATATAGTCCTGTTGAAAACTCTATTCACGTACGAAGTCTGAAAGTTTCGATCGTTGGAAAATGTATGTTAGTTTTCCATTAATTACCATTCGATCTGGTTAACGTTTCTGTAACTTAATGTTTACATTCTGTGTAACTTTGTTATAAATGCATAAATGTATAATAAATCTTGTATAAATGACGTTATTTTTATCGTGATATAATATCAATTTATTGTTATGAATGTGTTACGTGAATTATCAATAATTACATGACACATATTTATGATACTTAACAAATAAATACGAAATCTTTATTAGTTAATAATGTAAATTAAAATATTAAAAATTATATAAAAAAATATATATGAACCAAATAATATGTAAGAAAGTTTCATATGAAGTTGTCAATCATTGACCTATACATACATATAATTCATTTTATAAACAATTTACTGTCTCAAGCTTTTTACTATCAGAAGTAAAATAACTCCCTTTAATGAACCGCTTAATTAAATTCCAGATTTTAATTTATTGATCTATTTTCAATGTTCGATGCAAACTCCGAAGCTCACATGCCACTTCACTCTTCAACTACACACAAAGCGCATCTTCCCCCTATTTACCAATACACAACCTGTTTCCCGGAAACACTCGTGTGAAGCCAATTTATACGTCCGATCAGTTTTAAAATTCATCATCGATTTTGCAATTTAATTCCGTGGAAAGATTCGGCTTAATCGATGATCGAACGACTTAGCACAAACGTTCGAGCGGATGCTTTCAGCGCGTTGCAGAAAGCTATTATCGAGGCGAGGCGTTGCAAAAACTTCGATAGAGCTAACCAGATCGATTACTCGAACGGGTCACGAATAATTGACGCGTCAAGTTAAACAGAACGTGATTTAAAAATGCTGGAAATACGATTTCGGTGTTTAATCATCTCTCCGTTGAAGCGTTTACGTAAGAAGATCTTATCGGGGGTAGAACTATTCTTCTCGCCGATCGATAAATCGAACGGTATATTCGCGAATGATTTGTAGATACCATTCCTTTTTTTAATCACCTCACCCTTGAAACCGTGGTTACGGAGAAAAGAATTTCAACTTTTAAATTATAGAAAATTACGATTTGCCGGACGTCGACTCCCAGTTTTTCTTCCAGCCATTTCTCTTCGGTTCCTTAACCACCCTTCGTCTCTCGTTTTATTACCGTCGATCTCATACCACCTTCGAGAGTTATAATTGCGAATAGGGGTGAGAGAGATCGTTACCATCGACTTTGTTATGACCTATCGGAGTTATAGATTTTGTCATCAGTCGTGTGTTTTCCCATCGGGAATGGTATTTGGTCGACTGAAAAGTTATGTCGTTGGTAGATTTATTACGTTTCTTTGTCAATGTTTTCTTTTTATATAATAAATGAGTACGACGTTGGAACTTTTTAGGTTTAAACAAGTGTTGTGTATCATGGAGTTTTTTATTTGTTATGAATTTTATGTTTTTTATTTGTTTCAAATGGAAGATTTGGTGATTGGGTATTGTAGCATTTTGAAGGGGTTGTTTAAAGCAGAGACGTGAAGAGAATTTGAGGATTTGGAAATTTGAGAGTTTAGAGATTTTGAGGTTTGGGAATTTAGATATTTGATAATTTCAGGATTTGGGGATTTGAATAGTTGGAAATTTGGGAGCTTGGAAATTTGTTACTTTGGCAATTGGAAAATTTGTGAATTTAGGGATTTGGAGATTGGGGAATTTGGAGAAATTGGAAATTTAGAAATTTGAGGTTCTTGAGATTGGGGCATTTGTAAATTTGTGAGTGTGTGAATTTAGAAATTTAGGGATTCAGAGATTTGGAGATTTGAGTATTTGGGTATTTAGGACTTTCGGAATTTTGCAATTTCAAGATTTGGAAATTGGGCAATTTAGGAATTTAGAAAATTGGGGATTTGGGAATTTGATAATTTAGAAATTGACAAATTTGAGAATTTAGGAATTTAGGAATTTAGTAATTTACTACTTTATTAATTTTGGAATTTGGAAATTTAGGAATTTCGAAATTTGGGGATTTGGGAATTTGATAATTTAAAAATTTAATTATTCGAGAATTTAGGAATTTAGTAATTTACTACTTTAGGAATTTTGGAATTTGGGAATTTAGAAATTGAGCAATCTGGAAATTTGAAGATTTGAAGATTTGAAGATTTGAAGACTTGAAAATTTGATATTTTTGGAATTTACTTATTTAAGAATTTAGTAATTTAGAAATTTAGAAATTTGGAAATTTAGGAACTTGAGCGTTTCGAATTTTGATAAATTCATCATTTCGAACCTAAAAAATTAAGGCATTTTGTAATTTAAACATTTGATATTTTAGACATTTAATAATTTAGGAACTATGTAACATTTAATGAGGATTTTTTTCTGGGTTTTCAGAGCACGACTGCAAGGACTTCCAATGCACTCAGAACGAATTTTGCATCGAGACGGACCTCCTTTGTGACGGTGTGAATCACTGCGGCGATGGTTCCGATGAGGCCACCTCCATCTGTGCCAGTAAGTTCTAATTACCAACGATTCATTTCGAATCTACCCTTTCCCCAAAGGAGAACGACTCCTTTCATATTTCGAATGAAATATGCCGGTGTTAAATTGATTTGCCATCGAATTATTCGATTCTAAATTAAACCAAGGACCATTGGTGAAATTAACACTAAATCTACCTAATGAACTCTTTATTTGAAATTGAAAATGAAGTTGAAAAATATATAGACAGTCGATTGAACATAAAAATCGTAAGGACATTAATTCTTTATCTTGATGAAAATCAACGCGAACTTTAATTAAAGTATTAAGAGTCTATAGTATATTTTTTAGAACTCGGAGAGGTGTTTCTGTCAGTTTAGAGTTTTTATTTTGTTGTAATTTGTTAAGATTTTATGTACAGGAAGATCCAAATTAACCTTTTAGACATGACGCACCACTATAGTGTGTTTCGCGGATATCATATCTCTGTACGACCACTATAGTGGTTTTCGCGGATATCATATCTCTGTACGACCACTATAGTGGCTTTCGCGAATTTCGTAGATTACATAGCGCCACTGTAGTGGCTCACTCACTCACCGTTTCACAACCGCCAAGGATCCTAGTGAGTACATTCGTCCATGTGATAATTCTTCGTTTCTTTATGTCTTGTGTTCTCCAACACATACGCGTTACGTATCCGTTTCCATAGGGAACCTTAAGTAAAACTTGCTACTGTTTGTACTTCACCTTATCGCGAAAAACGTGTGGGACACGGTTGAATTTATGTGTAATATTACACATTCCGCCATCTTAAATGGCTATACGAGTTCGGCTTTTTTACAACGGTCTGAATTAACGAGAACTCCCCGTGTAACGCTCACTTGCAGTTACTTTAACCTCTTAGGCACGACACGTCACTATAGTGGCTTCCGCGAATGTCGTAGATTACATAGCGCCACTATAGTGGCTCAACTGGCCCACTCATCGTTTCAATTGAATGATCTTCATATGTTTTGATTCGCACTTTTTGCCTTCACCAGGTTCTATAAGAGTATTAACAAATCCCATAAAAATGCATGTAAATAAAAGGTAACGCCAAGTTTAGGCACTATGGGACCTCTTTGCACTGATACACGATATTGGAAACATTTGGAAATTACATATTTTGTGAATTTTGTAAAAAAGTAAATTATCAAAGTTAAAGTATACGTATCATATCTTTGGGAAAAATTATAATTTGATCATCAAAAACTTCGGTCCAATGTACTCGCGTAGAGAATAGCACTGTCACATATTGTAGTACTGTTTACGCGTAATTTGTGTCAAACTCTGGCGTATTGAGAAGCAGCGTAAAATTCAGCCGTGCCTAAGAGTTTAGATCCTTTCATAAACGTCGGTATTGGACGCATGACAAAATGCTACTCAAAAATATTCAAACAGTACATATTCCCACTACCTGAGCAAGAACACAGGATTTTCTAATAAGCTGTGTCCAGAGAACAGAGTGAATAGATAAAAAAGAGATAAAAAAGTTACAATCACCTCGAAATTAGATCAACACGTGTTGCATATGGTTTGTAATAAATTGTGTTTGAATTTATTCTTTATTTTGTTCAGGTTTTCCCTGTCAATACACGGTTTATTTGAATAGCCGTTTAATTGAGACAAGTTGGTCTGGCTCCAATGTGTCCCAATTAATTGGAATTCGCTGTATTTGAACTGTTGTTTTAGGAATCGTTTATTCTTGGAAATATTATTGTTTTTTATGCGTGTTTCTCTTGTTTGATAATTTTTAATTGTTTGTTTAGGCTGACATGAAATGTAACAGACTCTTAGGGAGGTCATTTAATAAGAGTTAATTTAATAGGATTTATAAATCATTTACGTTATTTCCATTTTCATATTATTGAATTCCTGAAATTATAACTTGACAAGATTCATAATTTTCAAATTTTCAAGGTATTTTTCAGGTTCTTTAAATTTGTATATGTTTAAATTTCTTAATTCCTATATTTCTAAATTTCTACATTTCTAAATTCCGAAATTTCAAAATTTCAAAATTCCAAAGTTCCAAAATTCCAAAATTCCAAGATTCCAAGATTCCAAAATTCCAAGATTCCAAAATTCCAAAATTCCAAAATTCCAAATTTCCAAAGTTCCAAAATTCCAAGATTCCAAAATTCCAAGATTCCAAGATTCCAAAATTCCAAGATTCCAAAATTCGAAAATTCCAAGATTCCAAATTTCCAAGATTCCAAAATTCGAAAATTCGAAAATTCCAAGATTCCAAGATTCCAAGATACTAAGATTCCAAAATTCCAAAATTCCAAAATTTTAAAATTCCAAAATTCCAAAATTCCAAATTTCCAAAGTTCCAAAATTCCAAGATTCCAAAATTCCAAAATTCCAAAATTCCAAAATTCCAATGTTCCAAAGTTCCAAAGTTCCAAAATTCCAAAATTCCAAATTTCAAAATTCCAAAATTCTTAAATTCCTAATTTCCTAATTTCCTAAATTTGAAAATACTAGATCCCCGCAAAGACTAGTCATATTAAGTACTCAAAACTATAAAAACTAATTGAACCAAAATATTTTGAAATTACTTAATAAAATTGCTAATAACAAAACTACTATCTAATCAAACCTTCACCTATCTGAATGTAGTAGCCAACGTATCAATGCTATATAATAATTATTTGTTTCTCCCTATTCCAATAACCTTATCAACAATATAGTATTCATTTCATATCTTCCTCGTTTTTATTTACTTTTTTCGTATAATTTATGATAAGATCATTCGCCCTGTGTTCGACGTGTATACACGTCTTTGCTTGATTTTAATTCCACATACCACAAGGGATTATTAAAATTGTATTTCTTATATAATTAAAATTATATTATAATACAGTTAAGAAGTTAATTGTGGATTTTCTTTCTGTGTAGAAGGCAATTATTTCTATAGTTATTAATTTGTCAACAAATTGCTTATTGTTTCAGACTCCGAGACGTCGACAATTTTGGGCATGCAGAAGATTTGGTTCGCAGTCGCCCTCGTTTTCCTGACACTGAGCGTGGCAGGTTTGGTGACGGCGGCCGTTCTCTGTTTCTGCAGACGTACCACAACCCCAAGGCACCCCCATAACGCGCACAACGCCCAGTCTCATCCTCCAGTCAGCTTCCCATGTGAGTCACAAAAAGCACACTCGTTCGCGTCCACACACGGTTTTTATACTTCTTGTGTCGTCGTTGCTTAGCCATGTTGCTCGGCGTGTTTGTGTTCGTTTGACCGTCAGCCAGTTCACCGTTCATCCACCCTCGTTTGCTGTTTCCTTTTTTTTTCACCCTCGAAAAACATAGTGGTCCCGCGTATGTATTTCGGAGTTGCCCGAAAGTCCAGGGAGATCTCGCGATGCATGGTTAAATTTGGACAGAGCCGAAAGCGCAAATGGTGGACGCTGCTTTTTCCCTCTGTTTTTATTTTCGGACTTAAATTGCATGGTTACGGCGAACGAGGGTGGAAACGCGGAGTACGTGTGGAATTTCCGATCTTTTTTTTCAGCTAATTTCGTGGATAGCTTATTTCGGATCTTTTTCACTGTTATGAAATTGCACAGAAATAGGATTCGTAACAGCTTATGATATTGTCGCGAAGAATGTTTATGGTTTTTGATATTTGTATTTTTGAGGGTAATGGGAAGTTGTGTTAAATGGGAATGAAACAAAAACTCATGTGAAGAGTGTCTTTCTTTCTGAAGATGTATTTTTTCTTTAAATTACTGAGATATATTATTTCTTTAAATTATTAAAGTATACTCATATGATCGAATTTATTATAATAAATTTATTGTAATAGCAATGTAGAATTAGAGAGCATGTAATTTCTTATTTTATTTTTCACATACGACTATTACTATTAATGTTGGTATTACAATTATTACAATGATTACTGTTATTACTGTTACTGCTACTATTACTGTTACTTTCGATTTTGCTATTATTATCGACATTGCTTTCGCTATTGCTTTCTCTATTGCCGTGGTCATCAGTAACGCTGTTGCTGTTGTTCTAATGAATAATAGTAATAGGTAATAGTAACTGTTACTTTTACTATTAGCATTACTGCCACTGTTACTATTACTACTATTGTTACCACTACTATTAATCTTACTGTTACTATTGCTCTTACTATTATTGACTTCTGTAACTATTATTATTATTTTTATTATGACTGTTACTATTACTGTTACTATTACTGTTACTATTACTGTTACTATTACTGTTACTGTTACTGTTTCTATTATTGTTCCTATTACTGTTCCTATTACTGCTACTATTACTGTTACTATTACTGTTATTATTAGTGTTATTATTACTCTCACTACTACTATTTTTATTGCAATTACTATTACTATTACTATTACTGTCACTATTACTATTTTCATTGCTATTACTGTTATTATTATTAGTATTATTACTATCATTATTAGTTTTGTTATTTCTATCACTAATACTAACACAATTGCCATCTCGATTACTATTACTATTATATCTATTATTACTGTTATCAGCAACAAATTATTGTCAATTTAAAATATCTTATTGTTAGTACCTTTACTATATTTGTATAATAAGTGACTGATATATTAAAACGTATCTAATTTTGCGTAACAAACGTGCAGTTTATTTTTGTACACATCCTTTTAATTTTTGGTACAGTTATTTAAAAATTTTAAACTGCTTATTCAATGAAAGATAACTCAATATTAATAAATCTGAAAATTTAAAACATGAAAGTTTGTACCTTTAGAAATTTGCAAATTTCCAATTGTATATATTTCGAAATTCATCCCGTACCAATTTCACCAAATCAAAATATCGTTTTATTCACATAAAAAGGTTGTAGCAAAGCGTTGTAAAAAAAGGATAACTTAAATGTTCATCGTTCGAGTAAAATTACGTTTAATTACCGTCTAAGATACCGCTTGAATGAATGAAGGATGCACCCCTGGGTTTGCAGTTCATAAACTGTGTATAATTAGACGTAATAAACGTGGTATAGATGTATACAACGTACACGGTTTTACAGTGTGCCGTGTTATTAATTTATCAAAGCGGGGACTAATTAGTTTCGCGCTGGATTAATTTAACAGGGAAAATAGGTTAAACTCAATGGAAGCTCACGCATGAAAGCTCGCCGGTGTTTTTCCACAGAATTTGTAGCTCGTTTTTCGATGAAAGAACGAGATTAGAGAAATCGAGGCTAGCTTTCGTTCAGCGGGGTAATTTGGGATAACACGCGACACACAAATTAGGTTGTTTCGAACATCGAATTATCCTTAATTGCAGCAATTGTGACTAGTCAGAATGGCGGTGTTTCTGAAATTTTGGATGAATTAAACCTTAAGTAGACGCGGTATCATTTTTCATTCTTTAATGTATATTTCTGATTGTTCAAATTTCATTTTTAATTCGTCGAGATTATTTTGTACTTGTTTTTTACCTTCATCAGTATTGTTAGAATTGAAACGTATTTATTTTAATATACATAATAATATGTATAATAATTTAATATGTATATGAAAGGGCAGATAGTATAATTATTACGTGCATATTGCAACAGTTCGCTTGGGAGATGGTTACACGATGCTCTCTGAACATCGTTCGAATTAATAAAAACATAAGAGCGGACGATGCTCGATCCCTATACAGAATATTCAATAAACATCATATTATAAATTTGTGTAATACAATATACTTGACATCAATAATAAAAATATATTCTGATCGAAATTACACAGAATTATATAGGATGTCTCACAATTAGTGTAGGTCCTTGAAGTGGGGGGTAGCTGACGTGATTCTAAATAAGATTTCCCTTTGCAAAAATGGAGTATGAATCTTCGTTTTTGAATTATTAAGAAAAAACACGGACCAATCAGAGCGTGGGGATTATTACGCGTTGAATTACTACGCGTTGGTTAACTACGCGTTAGATTACCCCGCATTAGATTCCTACGCTTAGAATTACCACGCGTTGCATTACTACACGTTGGACTAATACGCGTTGAATATCCACGCGCTGGATTACTACGCGTTAGATATACACACGCTGGATTACTACGCGTTAGATTACCATGCATTAGATTCCTACGCTTAGAATTACCACGCGTTGCACTATTACGCGTTGGATTACTACGCGTTGAATATGCACGCGCTGGATTACTACGCGTAGGATTACCACGCGTTGCATTACTACGCGTTTGATTACCACGCGTTGGATATACACGCGCTAGATTACTACGCGTTGGATATCTACACGCTGTATTACTACGCGTTGGATTACTACGCGTAGGATTACCACGCATTGCATTACTACGCGTTTAATTACCACGCGGTGGATAACTACGCGTTATTCGAAGCTGCCGCTCTCGCGTCTGCGCATGCGTAATCCTCGCGCTCGGATTGGTCCGTGTTTCTCTTTAATAATTCAAAAACGAAGCTTCAAACCCCATTTTTGCAAAGGGAAATCTTATTCAGAGTCACGTCAGCTACCCCCCATTTCAGGGACCTACACTAGTTGTGCGACACTCTGTATAATGCACGATTTATGAATGTCGAGAGGCAAACTTCCATCAACTATTTTAGTGATGAAGAAAAATGGAAGTTAATTAAAAGTTTGATACTTGAATAGAAAATATTCTTGAAACATTCCAATTGAAATATTCTTCATTATTACATTTTTGTTTAATGATTATTTTTAGACTTATAACTGGTTTCATAACTATTTTCTTAGCGAATTTATTGAAGATGAAAAATGTATAGTAGTTTTTTAGTCTGCCTTTTTTTTAGTAGTATCAAGTTTTAACTTGAAAAAATTAAGAAGCTAATAAATTTGAGTTTTTCAAACGTAATAAAAAATCTCCTCTTTAAACGTATCATTCACTAAAGTAGTATTCCACGATACAGTTAGATCGAAATCTCGAAGTCGACGATACGCTCTGAATTCTAGCTACGAATCAATTTAAGCTATTCTAATTGCATCACAAAAGTTAATCAATTTGCGCTTCTGAGAATTACACGGTCCCTTGGATCCTGTATAAGTTTGCTTGGTAGTTTCAGTTACGTTTCCTTGTCTCTCCTAATTGTTTATTACCCCGACCATGCTTCTAAAGTCGTAGACTGCTTTAGAATTTAGTGTAACAGAGTTGGTAACACTGTACAGAAATTGGTGCACCTGAGGCTACACTACACAGCATTTAATAATAGGTTTTCCTTCGTACGAGAATACAGAACCGTCATTTACCTTCGTATTAGACCGGGTTTCCGCATTGTTTCCTTGTTGTTTCCATCAACTACTTGATTGTCTTGCTGCAACACGATAAATCGTTCTTGATGCTTCTATTGACTGTCAATTTTCTTCGACTTGATTTACAATTAAATTTGTGACTTTGCATTTTTTACTTGCAGAATTATTTGATGTTTAACCTTGTTTAGGCAATCATATTTATAGAAGCAATTCGTTAAAGACGACAAGCATTTTCTTTCGTTTTTTGATTAGGCGAATGCGTAATATGAAGGTCATATTTAATGAGAATAAATCCAAATTTTTTCAATTTGTCAAACTATAATTTCAATGAATGTTATTGCAAAGAAATTGATGTATTCTTTGTAGTGCATTGTAGAAAAAGGGATTCTGTTATCACAGAAAATATTTTTTAAAATCTGAGCACTTTTCAAAATGTAAGCAAGGTTGTTTTAAAACTTCATTGATCATATGCATCATTTGTTGCATTTACTGAAATTAACAGGAAAATTATGTAACAATGTTATTTCCGTAAATAGAAACATCATCGTACAGAAATAAACGTATTTCTACGTAATTTTGTTTAATAGAAAAATTCTTAACTAATTTATCAGTTAACTACAGAGTGTTATGTAAAAGATTACAATGATATGAGCCTCTTCCTGTACTGTTCTTTTATGACGATATTTTCTAAGAGCTTGGTTATTGCATTACTTTATTTATATAGAATATTAATTCTCATATTAATATGAATAATTTTTAACTATTATAATATTTAGACAAATTTAATGAAGTATTTAATAAAGTCTTTAGATGAAATGTAATTAATATAATAAATGGAAGTGTAACATTTCATCAATGTTTAATTATCAAATGATGG